TTACCAGCGGGAGTGTTGAATTATTATTCAACCATTTAACAAATATTAAATTGGTAAAAATATGCATAAGCAAGAATCTATAAAGACAAAACTGAGTTTAAAGTTTAGTTTAAAAAGACTGTGTTTCTTAAAGATCAATATTTCACATGAACTAACATCAGTTTAATTTCAATCACGTTCTATAATAAGACTAATCATCTGTGTGGGCTCATGACAAACGATATCAACTTAAAGTCTAAAGTGTTAAAAAGTCAAGTTAACCTGTGACGTCAAAGTTTAAGGCTGATCAGCTGTGTGAGCTGGATGACGTCACCTCGAGACGCAGGATGCAGGAAGTCTTCACCTTCCTTCAGCTCTTCTCCTCTGAGCTCCTCGTTCTGAAATCAGAGAGCAGAAGAAAACCTCCTGGAGGTTTAACGTGCAGCAGCAGCAGCGTGAGGAGAAGAGCTGACGTGTTTAACCATTGAAGATCTTTGCTGAACCGACATTTCAGATTTAAAAACGATCAAAGAAAGTGAAGATCTGGACAAAAGCAAACACGACAAAAACAAACGTAACCTGTGTTGTTGAGAACAATGTCGTCCGAGGTTAATACACGACAGACGATCCCACACCTGTGTGCAGATGTGAAACGTGGCGTCACAACAGTCGAGAACACAAAAGCTTTGTCGGACAATCGCAGCGTGTGTGTTTACCTGAGGCGTTAGTGATGTTGACTCTGCCGATTCCATTTAAAATCCACCAGAATGAACTGAAGACACAGTTTGTGAACATGGTTCATATGTTGGATTTGTTCACCTGCTCAGGGTTGTTGACACGGAGCGACTCATGTTACATGATAAACTCTCCCCATGCTCCACCGCTCTGTATGCTAATCAACGCGTAAGTCATTCCTGAATGCGAACGTGTCGTTGGTTTAAACCAGCAGGGGGCAGCGACGCAGTCTCTGTACCTGGATGAAGAAATTAAATAATGCAGGAAAACCAAATCCACCACTTTTCTGTTTCTGTGTGAGCGCTCTGGTTCAGACATCGTTAGCGACGCCAGTTAATGTGAATGATTATGAACTTCTTCTTATGCGAAGGACTTTGTCCTGTGAAGCAGCAGATCGTCCGACTCGTTCACAACAACAGGAACATGTGTCGTGTGATCAGTGTTGCTGTTTACAGCTCATCCACACCGGCGTCGGCCATTATCACCAAAACATCTGGAATGTCCTCGTCTTTCCAAGTGGACGTCTTCGTCTGTGTGGAGAGTCGCTGCACTTGTGTTGTGTCTCCTCGTCTGTGGTCAGTCACATAAATAATCTCTCCGCTCTCCAGGTGACAAAACCACCTGATGCTGCAGCCGCCACTGGTCCCCAGAGACACACACACACACACACACACACACACACACACACACACACACAC